CAAGCACAAGGCCTCAAGTTCTAACCAAGTGTTATCTTCTTTAAAAAAAAGTATATCCCCAAGAAAGAGCCCCAGCTAATCTCTCTGTCACTGATAGAGGCGTGTCGGGAATGTAGCATAGCATACCTCGGTGGAGCTGACCCAATAAATAACTCCACTTTGCATCGCTTCAGATGAGTCTTAGCAGTTCATTTACCATACAGTGAACATCCCAGAGGGTTCTCCACCTCAGCTATCGCCCAGGTTTCTGCAGTCCTGGGGCTGTGTCGAACTGTCAATCAGTGGTCATGTCTGTCTGTTATCTCTCAGTTTTTCACTGCGTCCTATCTCAGTCTTGTCTTTTGTGTCCTCTCTGTGTCTTGTCTGTTTTTTCCTACATAGAGGAGGTCCTGGCTGTGTCTTGTGTCTGGCATGTGCTGATGCTCACGGAGCTGCCTCTGTCTGAGAATGTGACCATTTCAATAATCCCTCATTTACATTTTTAAGCTGTTTTTCTTTTTCAGCGCAACGGGCAAGTGGAGACCTGTTTCTCTGCCACGTTGACAATGGACAGTGTTGCTATGGTTTTCTCTAATCGCAGTAATGAGAATGGCAGTTGTTTACTGTGAAAACCAGGCAGGAAAACAAGGTTGACACCTCTAATTAAAAAAGTAAAGAGTGAGGATGCATGTGTGTGTGTGTGTGTGTGTGTTGTGTGTGTGTTGTGTGTGCGTGCGTGCGTGCGTATGTGTGTGCAGATGTGAGTGTTGTGGACATTATCTTGTGGGAGAAGGAAACTGTTGTAGGGTTTGGATTCTGACTGTAAATAATGAACTGTGGTTTTAGTCGTGAGCTGTCGGGAGGCTGCAGATACAAATTAGCCTTTGTTTAACTCAAATGGTAAAATGTATGTTTAATATTGTACAAAGTCCTTTACAAATTAAAATAGAATAAATAAATATGCCTTTTGTCTGACAAGCACAGAACAAATCATTTAACACAGTGGCCTCCATATGGATGGCATGGTAGCAGTAGCGCAAACACAGTCGCAGGTGCAATTTGCGTTAGACAGTGAGACCTTATGTTGTGTGCAGTTCAAGTTCAGCACTCATTTTGGCATGACATTGCATCTCAGCTTCTGCCTACTTAAAGAACCTTTTTTTGGAAGCACAGATACAGGAAGAAAAAGGTGTGGGTTTAGGCAAACACACAGATCTCAAGTTTGAGGAATGTTGGCCCTAAATATTATTCACCTTTAGCCAAATAAGATTTAGCTTGCTTGACATATATCTATGTTTAGGAGAACAAAACAATTATGTATTTAATGTGACTCCTAAATATCTGTTCCTTCTTATACTTTCTCTTGTACTCAGTAAAAATAATGCTATAAATGTTTCATTAGAGTGGCCCTCATGTAACAACTGCATTCACAAACTGACCCCTATACATCCAGAGGATTATTGTCATGGAACATGGCTTAAAGCCTGGTGGCACTGGATTCAACAAGCAGATGGTCAGTCACATCTATTAACTCAACCAACATGACTATAGTAGGCCAGAAGCTACCATTAATAGAAAGGTAGGGCCTGTGGATATACAGATGGGGCATCTGCTCCGTCATTCATCCAAATTAATATGTGGTATCTGTTAAATGTAGGAGGTATGTGGCACTCAAAGAATGCACACTATGTCCACGGAGCTAAACACGGCACCATTTACAATGCGGTCGGCCAAGATGAAAACGACCCCTCATGTGCTGTACAGTGAGATGAAATCTATTTGTGATGTTTCTACTGTATCCCTTAAACATGGCATGATAGTCATAGTTTAAGTTATTTATATTTCTTGGAGCCTGTGTCATCATTCCAGTGTGATGGAGTCCTGTGTAGTTTCAAGTGGGATTTTCCCCTTTTGGGTCTGGTACTCCCGAGGGTCCTCAAATTTAGGTGAGGTTAGAAAAAATGTTTTGCTCATATATGGAAGAAAAATGTGTGAATTTATACAAGTGAAATGTATCCATCAACACCCATACGTCTTTAAACCCCACCTAAATACAAAAATAACTAATTAGACCTTTCTGTACTAGGTATTGAAAAAGTGGCCTTACATTTTTCAGGCATTCTGAGCCTTTTAAAAAAAAACTATTTTAAAGAATATTTCAAAGATCCAGCAAAATTAAAAAAGAATTTACATTAAAAGAGTTGTAACTGATGATAACACACCCCTAGAGTGTGATTTTGTCTGAGATCTGAATAATATTAATATATATTAATAATATTTATTTTTCAATTAATCATTAGAATGACATTTTTCATGTTTTGGTAGTAGAACTAAACCCAAATATTAGTAAAAAAAAAAAAAAAGTGTAAAAAAGTAAGTTTAAAAACTTAAAACATACTGGAGATGTTCTTGTGAAAATGGTTGTGAGCAAAAGTTGGGACCTTGAAGAAGGTGATCTAACCAGTTTAGTATGAACATGCCGTACCATCCAGTCCTTCTTCAATTCAGAGTAGTGACACTATTTTCTCCATGAGAAAATCCATCTTGAAAATTGCACTACAGAAAAAAGATGATTGAACCAAATTGAAATAAAAAATCTTCCTCTCTGCATCAGAACAGCGTAACCCCAGTCTACTCGTATGACTGAAGAGAAAATGAAGAATCTTCTTAAATAAATTATTTGAGTATACTCAAATATAAGTACACAACAAATATTCACAGTCACAGTAATTAAAATAATTAGTTATTCTCCATCACGGCAGCATAATCAATACTCTGTTAAGAATAATGTGCATCTAGAGTGATATTTGGCTTTGTTGCAGCAGACATTTTAGGAAAGGCACAGGGGTATCTAGTAACATTTTAGTTTTAACCATTTATTCCAACATTAGGCATTTTAGTTTTGGTGTTAAAACTGCTCATGTGATACTCTGGAGCAAATCTTGAGCAAGCTTGAATAGGCTGTCGCTGAGCTCACAACCCCCTGCAGAACCTGGGATACACAATATTTGGTGCAGAGTAAATGAACACAGAGTCTGCTCCTTAACCACGCCTAATAGTAATACTGGAAGCTGCTGGGGAGATGGAGAGAGTTATAATACGTAGATTGCAAGTAATGTAGGAGCAATGGAGGCAGAATAAATGAGCGCCAGCCAGATTTTATGGACCAGCTCAATGAAAGGGATTGTTGTGGACATGATAATTGGACAGTAAAGAGAACACATGACTATAAAATGACCTCTGGCCATACCTTAACTACTCCATTAATGATGGCTTTGTTTTATTTAAATGACCCAGTATGCCACCATGCACAATACCAGACCTCTGGCAGCAAACCATAGAGGTTATAGTTACAGAGGTAACATTTATTAGCTAATGTCATTTGTTACACCTGTGTGTAAGCTGTAAAAAAGGCAATATAGGTATATAACCCTTTGGGGTTTTTTTCCCTACAATTTAAAGCTTAAATATAAATTAATGTACAGCATGATTAAATCAATGTATGTGTCTTTAATTCAAGCCCAATGGACCTCTCTTATTGGCAATGTGGACTCATTACAGAAAACGCATAGGTGTAACTAATAGCAGTATTGATGGCTTTGCTCCATTTAGGCAAGCCAGTGAGCCCAGTACCTGGAACACCTAAGTGGAAATCATTTATGTTATTAGTTAGCCTTTTGCATTTAATGCTATGACCTATGTCCAAATAGCAAGCTCTTATTAGTCGGTTTCCTACTATTTGGATTCTGTGAATGTCACTAGTACCATTCTTTAAAATAATTGTTCAGTGCAGTGTACAATAAGACCTTTTAGGCACTATAAGCATTGTTAATGAAGGAAACCTTGGCTTGTCATAGCAGGAAATTCAGGTACATGTGTAACTAATAACATTAATGGTGTCTCTGTTCCACTTATGAGTGTCAAAAAGTCATCCCAGGGAGACAACATGCACAACACCAGGGCCCTGGAACCAAAATATTACAGTGGAATGAAGACCGATAATGTTATTAGTTACACCTGTGCATTTCCTGCCATGACATATCAAAGTGTCTGTCATTATAAAGGGCTATAGAGCTATCTAGCTCTTGGTGGGTTGGTTGCAGTTTTAATGTCACTTTACTTGAGTTACATTCTTTAAAATATGATTTCAGTGGAATCTACAGTATAAATAAATAAACATGAATATGTTTATATAATGTAGCTACTAAACCCTTCACACAGAGGACACTTTGACTTTTCATAGCAGGAAGTACAGAGGTGTAACTAATAACATTACTGGTGTCTCTGTTCCATTTAGGTGTGTCAGTAAATCATTCCCATGAGGCAACATACATAACACCAGGGTGCTGCAACTGAAATACATATAATGGAATGCAGACATTAATAATGTTATTAGTTACACCTGTGTTTGACTAGTCAAAATGTCTGCTGCGAGAAAAGTATAATGATTTGAATTTGCATAAGGATTTGACAGGTGTTGAGCTCAGGGCATATTCCTTTCTCCCAGGAGCCCCTTCCCGCTCCAAAGTCAGACAGCATCATTTTCTTATAAGATTTTCATGGGCTGTTGTGGGTGAGATTTCTCTACTTTTATGCATGCATGCATAAAAAACAACTGGAATTATAGGTATCTTTGAAAGAGTAGGCTACTGGATGGTGCAGCTACAACCATATGAACTTGCGGTGAGTCAGAGGGTATAATAGCATCTTTTATCACTTGCAGGTAATGGGCAGGTTGACAGTTGACACTGGCTTCCTGTTAAACCATCAAAGAGGGAAGTTGCAGGCCTGTCAGAACATGGCAACACTTCACTTCCTCGAAGACACCCCCACCCCTTCCAAAACACACACATTAACACACGCACAGACAGACACCTCAACCCCACATATAAATGGATGAGGGTGAGGTTTGACATGATTGACCTTTTCACCTTTGACCTCTGACTAATTTCACCTCTGTGCAGGAGGGTCTTTCTCTCCCTGTCCTTCCGTCCACTTATGCTGTCTCTCTCTGTCTGCAGACCTGAATGAGTGTGGGCTGAAGCCGAGGCCTTGTAAACACAGGTGCATGAACACATATGGGAGTTACAAGTGCTACTGCCTCAACGGCTACATGCTGATGCCTGACGGGACCTGTGGAAGTGAGTCTGTCTCTCACAAACACACACACACACACACACACACGTCTCTATTATTGTGCACACTGTTTGTACTGTTGTCTGAAATGTGGATATTTTCATCCCTGATCTACTTTCTCCCTCGTGTTTTTCTTTCATAATCTCCCTTCTGTTTTGTAGCCTGGATGTGCTTCTGTGAAGCTTTCCTTCACTTCACTATAAATGTATTCATCTGAATGCCTGTGCAATGCTGATGACATATGCTCTCTATTATAAAATACATTTTCCCACTCGTGCGAGTACCTCTGACAGCAGCCTCACAATTCTTTGATAGACTGTTTTGATTAAAGCTTGTGTTGATCTGCTTCATTATAGCCACTCCACTCTGAAGAACCCCTGTGAAGAAGCCTAAGAGGACTGAAAATGAAAAATGTGAAAGAAACACAATCTTTAGACCCTCAAGTGAATGTACAGTTCTTATTGGTTGCCCTAAGGTATTCCACAAAATGGGAGTTGATGCCTGTACATGTCTCCCTGTAAATTCTGTTTCCATCTGATAACTATTTTCTGCTCACGTTTCCACTCGAGGATGGCGTGACTCCTGGTACCTCATTTTAATTAGTTCTTTTTTTATCAAAAGAAAATTCATTTTCCCTCCTTTTAAAGTCTGAATTGCTCACCACTTGAGGCAATCTCAAACTGTAGGTGTTGTTGTGTGATGATAGTATGATAGTGTTAAACACCTTGCCGCTCTTCTTTTCTCCCCTGCTACTGCTTTGATCAATAGATCACTGTAGCATTTAATCAGCCTGGCCTGCCTCAGTCATCAAACTGTTCTCCAGGGTGCCTGCGGCAGATGAAGTAGCAGCGGCAGCATGAGCCTCACTTTTAATTTCCTTTTTAGGGTCTGAAGTTATTGAGAGGCTGAACAAAATATTTTCCATTGTATTATTATTTTGGAGGGTCTTGATCTGCCCAGCATGGCTCAACAACATAGGCGCTGCACACTGGCGCTTCGATAGGGTGGAGATGGATTATGAGTCTGCGGTTGTAGGACAGGATGAAAGTGGGTGAGGGAGAATTGTGTGGGCTAAGGTGTGAGCACAGAGCGACTGCGCAGCACAGGAATCTAATAATGGTAGTGTGTGCTGTTCTGTTGTCTGGCCCTCAGGGTCAACTCAGCTAATATGAGAAAAGGCAGGCGAGTGGCTCTTAACACAGTGGCTGGAGGATAAAGGATAAAGTGTAGATATGAGAAGGAAAGAAAGTGAGAGCGAAAGCAGTATTGACTTTTCTCTCTCTTGTTAATATGTGTTGTGTTTCCCTTGTGTCCCTCAGATGCTCGAACTTGTGGAATGGCCAACTGCCAGTACGGCTGCGAGGTGCTGAAAGGAGAGGTCCGATGTCAGTGTCCATCACCGGGGTTACAGCTGGCACCGGATGGAAGAACCTGTGTTGGTACGTCCCAGTCTTTATATATCTCCACAGACCTGACAACTGCGCCTTATGTTACCACTCCCTTCCATGAGCAACTCGTGTAACTTGTGTATTTTTTTATGTGTTCTTCTCAGCCTTTAAATTTGCAGAGTAATAATCAAATGCAACTGTTTTGGCAGAGCAAGAAAGAAAACTTGGCAGTGAAAATGCAATTTAGGATCTCTTAGCAAGCAAAGCTGACATTCATCCAACATATTTACCAATACGTCATTTTTGCTTTGATCAAGGACTCCAGCAATTTAACAGTCCTCGTCAACCGAACAGTGATTTTATTTCCACTTACTTCCTCCGGTCTTTACAGCAGAAATGTGATCAGGGGAGACCCTCCACCCCCCTACCCTCCACCCATCCTACCCTCCTTCTTTCATTACGTGGCACAGTTCCTCAGATGGGTAACTAACACATAAAGGGGCCAGATGAGGCAGTTAACCTGTGTCAGGTTTAAATGCAGGCTGTTCCAGACTGGACTGTTCCATGCTGCCTTATAGTCCCACTTAACTGCGGGCTGGCTAATAGGGGGTGTTTTTTCTGAAACAGGACAGACATCAATCATGAAAAATGATGGAGGAGGGGAAGGAAAGGTTGCCCGCCACAGGTGTTACGACAGTTTAATGGAATGTTTCCGGATCCCTCTGGAAGCTGCTGTTTTATGGCAAATTTTATGGCGAGTTTCTAATCATATTTATGGAGGTGATTCATTTCAGTAACCAGAACCTTAAATGGGAGAGTTTGCATAGATGCAGAGCTGTTTTTATACATAACGATGCTGTGAAATCGAATGTGTCAACACATTTTTGTTAGCTTTAAAACTTTCCGTGGCCCATATTTATCAAACGTTGAGGAATTATTCTTAAGAATGCTATAAAGATCCAGCTTAGGAGTAAGAAAATACTTTGCTGAGTGTGAAGAATGAGACCCTAAGTTGCTTAGCAAAGTGTAAGGGTATGGTCATATTACATTCATGTCTTTGACTAACTTCTATTGAAGCACACACGATGGACAAATTCGAGTCTGCGATTGCTGTTTTGCTGTAATCTCCAGCCTGCTCCAGCTGAGCTGAAACAGCCAATCAGAGACAAGGATTTACCCTACATTTGCCCCATTGTTTATTAATTTTTTCAAAGTCCTTGCAAGTTACAGTTTTATATATTTCTCTGTAAAAAATATGTAAATTATTTTTTCAAATATTGTTTTATTCATGTGAAGTAGTTCCAGTACCCATTAGTGTGTGAAATTAAAATGAATCAATATTAATATATAAATAGGGACGTATTAATTACGATTAAATAATAATAGGAAATTAGCAGAAATGGAAACAAAAACTAAACTGGAGCAGGAAAGAAATTATGCTGCTGCTAGACGAGGTACATCAAATAAATCATGTAATAAGAAGAATTCAGTAGCACAAAAATGCATGGAAAGAGAATAAAAAGGAGTCCTTTCATACGTCCTATCATCCTGAATTATACATACAGTATTGCTTCAGTTAATGTATTATTCCTCATGCCCAATGGGATTTAGCACAGTCACTCTAACACTTGTCTAAGAAGGTGTGTGTTAACCTCTGTCTCTGTATAGTAGCATCACCATCTACAATCCACTCATAAGGAAGCCATGTCTATTTCATCTTACACTTTTAACAGTTTGACAAATATGATGAACTAAATAACTTTATTTAATTTAATTGGATTTATAGTTTGATAATATAGTCTTTAATATCTAATAGCTTTTTAAAGAAACTTTGAACTTGCTATTTGTGAACTAAAAATGGATTAAGCCAGAAAATCCCTTAAGAGGGATGTCTGATGATCCACTACAAGGAAGTATTGACTTGTTTCTGCACTGTGACAAAACTGCCACACCACCACTCTGACTAATGACAAATTGCATTGATGTTTTTACATTGTTGCAGAAGTTCGGTATGAGACAGCTTCATATTTCAAAGCTGCCTCTTATAGGAATTGCTTAATGTATCAGACATGTTGTCAAGCCAAACACAATTGTTGATCTTAATAGTGGCTGATATATGTAACTGTGAATATGGGTTTAAACTGATGCTTAGCTACTTCAAAAGAAAAGTCAGAGCTGTAGTCAAAGCCAGATGTAAACATTCATAAAAACAGCCATTTGTAAGCAATATTCTATTTTGTGTAAAGACACAATTACTGTATTTATGTGTGTTTTATGAAAACATAATAATTCACCCCTGCCCTGGCAGTAGCTGAATAATTCAACTGTTGGACATTAAAGCACCTCCAGTGAAGCAGTTTGGGATTAAGTGCCTTGCTGATGAGAACCTCAACAGTGGTTGTTAAGGGATGAGAGAGCTCTGCCCACTTAATTCACTTGCTTGTTTTCCCAGCTGGTCCAGGTGTCTCTTTGTTTTTAAGGTCCTTTTAAACAACAGTCCCCGTAGCACCACGGTGCCTCAGCTGCATTATGCAGCAAATAAATTAATGATTTTAAGGAAAATGCTTTGAGCTGCTCTGTGTCTAAATATTAATGGCCACATGCCTGCAAAGGTGATCAACAGAGACACTTAGAATAGGTCTTTAAATAATGAAACAAGGTAGTGTGCATTGTATTCTGCTCACTGAACAGAATACATAATGTGCTTTGTTCATAAATGAATACTAACTGTGGAAGGTAAAAAAAAAAAAGTATTTTGGTATGAATAGAAATGTTTGTTTTAGTTCTGGATTAAGTTGTCTTTTTTAACCTTGGAAGTTTTTCATTCCATTGTGTTATTTTGCATGCATTATGTAGAGTATGTGACCAATCCTAAAAAGCAATTTTTAGTGAAAAATGATGAATACATTATGTTTCAATTTGAATATTTTCTTCTGTGTTATAATAACTGTTATCTTTTTTTTTCTCTCTTGAAGATGTAGATGAGTGTGCAGCAGGGATAGCAGTGTGTCCCAGGTTCAGGAAATGCATCAACACCTTTGGTAGCTACATCTGCAAGTGCCATGAAGGCTTTGACCTGCAATACATCAATGGGAAATACCAGTGCATAGGTACGGTCCCAAGGTCTCTGCAGTGAGGCTTTTACAGATAAAACGTAAAAAGGTCACAGATGTGGTGGGATGTTTTGACTTATTACTATGTTATTTTTAGTGATGCAGATGCTGTTTTTACATCAGACACTTAGGGACCAAGTTGAAAAGATAACACACACACACACACACACACACGTACAAATACAAAAGATGCACATTGCTGTAATGATCCCTCCTGTTTATGCAGGTCATTAAAAGATCCCATCCTAATGCACTTCCAATGTAAGTGATGATGTGGAAGAAATTCTACAGTCCTTGTTTTGTGTAAAAATGTATTCCAGTTCATCTGTACAACACAAGAACATCAAGTGCTTCTTCAAACATTACCACCTTTGTAGTACAAAATTCCCTCATTTTCTCCTTAACTGCAGCTCAGCAACGAACATTGTCTGGGGAAACACAAAGAGGGATTTTTGTACTAAAAGGAGTGTAACTTCAGAAGAGACTCTACCCACTACCAACCAGTAACAAAGTACATTTAACCAAGTAACCACTTTCCTTGAGCATTTTGATTCTATGCTTTTTTTACTTACACTTACCTACATTTAGAGAGAGAAATTCATTTATATATGTGTGTGTGTGTTTTAGTAAATGTTAGAATATTTAAATCTAATAAAGTAAAGCTTTTTCTGGTAATGGAGTATTTTTCCACTGAGGCACTGCTATGTTTACCCTTTTTCCACCACTGGTGCCAACTACGTTTTAAGTTGATCCTACTGTATCTATCTGAAGTGTAATATAATACAGTATAGCCTCGCCGTCTAACATACCACTGAAGAGGATGTTGAAAATGTACTTAAAATCCAAATAGATTAATAAAAAAAAGCAGTTGAGGATGTCTCGTGGAGTAGGATTACTGATTCTGTTATTTTACATTTGCGAAGTACTCCATAGTTGAAGTAGTGAACAGAAGAAATATGTAACAAACCTCTTCATTTCAGAATACTTATGATTTAATCAACTATCACCAAACCACTGTGAAGCTAATCCAAACCGCTGTTTCTTATTATTAAACCTTGCCTCAGCAGTGCACTTCAGTGATATACACAATACGTATGAACACCTGCCATCTAAAAGATTAAATCAATATTCTATACGAAGCCACATGGTTACCTAGAATCTTAGCAGCATCTGGAAAATACATCTCCCATCTTTATTTATGCATATATTCATCCTTTATAACAAATGTTTGTTTTTTTTACAAAAAGGTAGGCTTGTCAGTTGCTTCTAAAATGCTTAAAAGATATTTGATAATCACTTTGCTCTGGCATTCGTACAGTTATACACTTAAATGCTTTTGTTAACAGTACATATGACATAAACTTTGAGCCCTCCTTGAAGTGGATGTGAAGCAATTAGCCTTTGATATTCAGCTGTTATGTCCACTTGCACCCAGAAGCTGAATGTTGTTATGTTTCCATTATCTTTCAGATGTGGATGAGTGCTCTTTAGGTCAGAGCCACTGCAGCAGCTTCGCCACCTGCTACAACACGCCAGGTTCATACAAGTGCAAATGCAAAGACGGCTACAGGGGGATGGGCCACGACTGCAAACGTAAGAATTGAGAACAAAACCCTGGCCCCGATGCTTGCTTTTGCGAAGAGGAACAGGGGCCTCACGTTTTTTGTTTTCTTTGCCTGTGTTTTTTAAAAATGGGAGGATGGCAAGAGAGAGGGAGGAATAGCCTTGCAAGCAGTCTGGATTGAAATTCCTTTCTTTGTAATGGCTGTCAGTCATTACTTAAATCACCCAGCTCTGTTATCACGTGCTCCCAGAGTGAGCCTTGACTCCTTTTTTTGACATCTGGCCAATTTAATCAGCCAAAATGAGGAGTCATCATCAAATGTAAAATATTTCTTTCCCTGGTAGTTTTGCTTGCTGACACACAGTTCATTAGTCTGTGCGTCTGCAGTTTTTACAGAAGCTCAGTGAAGTCATTTATTCTCCACAGTTATTTAATCATCTTAGACACTGGTGTAACAGTCCATAGAGCAGAGAGGATGCCTCCTGGCGTACTGTGCCGCAAATACTTCACCCTGTCGCCTGCCCAAAGGGTGTGAGCCACAAGTGGCTACTGGGAGTCGAGTTGCAATATCCTATTTGTGTGTCACGTATCAAAGTCGCCTGCAACCTGAGAAGGCAATAACTGAGTTCAAACCGCTTGCCTTTGTCCTCTCTCATTCCTCACTCATGAAACCCTCATGAAACCCCACCCCACCACATCACACCAACCCCCAAATCTCGGTCTCTACTCCTGACGTTAAGAATTTGTGGAGGAACAAAGGAAAAGGAGGTGTAACTTTGATGACATCAGCAGAGCAAGGGTGATCTCCGGGGCACAGCAGCCTGTTTGAGATCATTCCACACACACAGAGCAGCCTTAGCCTAGTGCTGTGAGGCCCCAAAGCACACAAAGAATTACTAATCAGGCTGAACACATGAACGGATAAAAAGCCACCCTCAGAAAGCAATATTGATTTCACAAAAGCAGAAATTCACTGAACGTGGGGTTTCTTTGTGGGTTAGCTTGTGGAACCACATGTCATGTAACCACAAAGCCATCCCTCTTTCTTGCTTTTAACACTCCCATTGAGGAAAATATGTCCAGAATTGTTTTAAAAAGAGCCCCAAAATGAATCATCGTGAAATTGCAGCACACTGATATTATGGGCCTCCCTTGCAAGTTTGAGCTTTTGCTTCAGTGAGATTTGAGACACCCAATTTGTTTTAGGATGCTAACATTTAGTTAATAGATATCACAAGAAATCTCTGTAGATGAAATAAAGCCCTCCTCTGCAAAAGTCAGGCTAATCATTGCAGTTAGTCTGCAATTCTGCACCTCATTAAGTCTTAAGTGCTCATATTTCAGCGCTCCATCTGCATTCTTTTATTATTTCAGCCATTCCTAAGGTGGTTATTGACCCCCCGAGACCAGGCAAAGTGCCTCCAAATCATCACAACCGCATCCCTGACATGGATCAGAAGAGGACCACCATCCGCCCACCAGTGACTCCAAGGAGATTCTTCCCCATTATTCCCAAATCAACAACCGCCGCCACGACTACAACAACCACAACAACAACCAAAGCACCTCTGCCTCCAAAGAGGGTCACCCCTCCTCCGCGCAAACCAGCAGTTCCCACCCGGAAGCCCTTTGTCCCAACCAGGAAACCACTAGCACCCACACGCAAGCCCTACATCCCACCAAAGCCAGTGGCTCCCACCAGACTCGCCCCAACACCACCACCAGCTACACCAGTAGACAACACCATCCAGAAGGAGGTCACCAAACAGAGAGGGGATGTCCACAGTAAGATTTAGCTTTTTATTTTATTCTGTTTTTTACATCTTTTTTATATTGTAGGTCTCTTGAATATATATATTAATTATTATATTAATGTAAGAAAACGTTTAAACCTGCATTGGTTTATCTTTTGGCCACATGGGGTCAACACTTGAAGCTATAAACATAACACTGACATATTATCTTTTTAAAGTTGTTATGGCTAACCTATGGTTATGGTTAGCAAACAGTTGCCTATTTACACATCCAGGAGATATGGAGCAACATTTATTCAGAGTTTTGTTTCTGACCACCAAACAAAATAGGTCCCATATTCACTATTCTTTTAGCTCTGTTTTGGTCTCTGCCACCTCCTGAGGGAAATATCTAGCTCTCTAGCTGCTAAATGTTCCTCTGTTCACCAGCTGCTGTATCTTGAATCAATGCTGGTAAGAGCATGAGAGAAAACCAAAAAACATGAAAGCTGTGGGGCGTAAAAGCAAAACAATGAGCTGAAAGACACTAAAATGCTCCACGTAGCTGGTACATCACTATGAGCGATACCTTTCACATTATAAATATAGAAATACACATTGTTCTTGTAAACCTTTTGTTTACTTTTTAGTCACAGACTTTGGCACTTATTTGACTAACAATTCATCTTCACCAGCACCCTGACAGGTTCCCGCTAACCAAATTGGAGCTAGTTTGCATATTTCTTCATCTGAATCCTGAAACATTGTGTTTATTATAAAAACATGTCACATCCTGTGGAATCAGGAGTGATGTTTACCTGACAGATGATGTGTATCATCGTATTCATTTTGCATTCAAACACATGAATATGCGGATGCATCTTGTAACCCATGTGTACACAGTTTATCTGCCAGCTAACCACATGATGATAATACTAAACATTTGGCAAGAAATATGAAGTTTTTAATGAAAACTTTGTATGTTTAGACTGTGTATCTGTATCAACATATGGCATGTATTGTGCATTGCTGTAATACTTAACCCTTTCATCTGTGAGAATTCATGATTCAAGTTAATTTCAATTCAGATAAATATGCAGTCAACCTATATCCACTTTCATATTACAGTATGATATGTAGATTGAGAAGAGATAATGCCCTATTATTATAAGATGAAAATTAGTCTCACGAACATCAGTGTTAAAGTAAAAATATTTTCTTATCCAGGTAATTATCTTTTTGGCCTCCATTAACAAACACGAACTGCTGCTACGCCAGACCGGTGTTTATCTTTCACACTGTCAAGCATGTATCTTTGACACCAATTACATTCAAAATGCCTCATAAGTCTTTGTTTTAGTTAGACATTCTCCATCAAAACCAAATAATAGAATTTAATTCAAAATACTATGGCAAAGAGAGGCAGTTGAGATAATTTATTTTTGCTCTAACAAAGAAGTTAATCACTGCAATCATCTGCTGCCTTCTTTTCTCAGTGTTAAATGCATGCACCTTTTCATAACGGCAAATTGTTTCTTAATGAGATAATCCCTGTACCAAGTGACTTGTTAAGCTGAAACATTCAGTTCAGGGTCTAAGTCACTTGGTTTAATAGATTATTGTCTGCAGCTAAACCCTCTTTATTAGTATTTAAAGTATGAGGATATTTTTTCTGATTCTTAACAAATCCCATGAAAAGACCAAAACCACCAATGAATTGATCCTTCTAACAAGTATTGTCTGTATATCCAAGGCCTGACATATTAAAACCTCTTTTGTTGTACACAAACTTATGAATACATCAATGAGTCACCATGTTGAACTGGGTGACAGCAAAATTACATTCAGCTCCATTTTATTAGGGTGAGGACAAAAGTTTTAGAGTTTACTAAAACAATCAGCGTGGCTTTATACCACAAGGGTTTAGTGATAAAATTAACTATTTTGTAGTCTGATTGAAATGACCTTTTAATGCACAAATGCAGTAGAGAATTATTCCCTCATTAAAGTTTTGTTTATTTTCAGTCATCTCTTACACATACGTATGTTTTGGTGCCATAAATACTCACCAGTGTACACCAAATGCATATTATTCCGCAGCTTAGTTTGTCCCCAACCTATACACTAGTTTCTCCTATTTGAGTAACCTTTGCTAAAATCTACAGTGCCCAGAAGTTTTAGCAAATTACTCAGTGATTTTAAAAAAGTTTTAAAAAAATGTATACATTATAAAAATGTATACTTAAATACATAGACAAGTGTCTGCACATTTTTTATTATAATGCTCACTCACTCACTCAGACACAGAAATCAGTGTTTACTAAAAGCTTCTTTGACACAGAAAATGTCTGGTGAGATGCAACAGAGTAAGTACAGGATATACTCACCTTGCCAGATGGCATCACATAATTAGAAAAAGGAAAGAGGGAAGAGAAGATTACATTAACACCTGTCTGCACTGCTTGAGGGAGACATCAATCTAATAGTTCGCACCACGGCAGAGCAGTTTTAGAAATCAGACCTTCCTGAAGATGGTTTGAATAAGATGGGAGAGGGAGGGAAGAGAGACAGCACTGAGTGATTATTCTAATAATTAGACGGAAATAGGAATCATATGAGTAAGAGCTTCATGGCAAGACACCTCAGCTGTGCCTCAAATGCAGGTGTGTGTTGTAGTCAAAGCAATTTTCAGAGCTTTGTAGTTTCCTTAAGTCTGGATCTGTGCAATCAACATCACTGTTTGTGTCCAGTGAAAACCTAGTACCGCCAACCGTCTCTTATTTTTAGTTCAGGAATAGTGAAAGGAATAGTTCAATATTTTGGAAAATACACTAATTCAATTTCTTTCTTTCTTGCCAAGACTAAGATGAGAAGATTTATACCACTCTTTCATTCTCTCTTAGCACCATGCATTTAATTTGTACAGAAACAGAAATGTAAAGATGATTAACTATTGAACTATTTTTTGGCAGACAACAGTTCATCCTTCCACCTATCACGTCTGTGCTAGTCTCTTTTGGTTGCCTGGCATCCTGGTGATGAGAAAAATTTAGGAAATCACTACTTCCAGCCAAATATTAGTTACAGCATATAACTGTCTGTAGAACCACACATTTTTATATTTCTGATTATCTGCAGATTAAAGGCATGGTGCTAATTAGGGAGCTTTAGAGTTGTTAGTAGTCAAACTTCAACTTTGTAGAGTCACGCTAGCTGTCTCCCCCTACTTCCAGTCTTAGACATGAGAGTGGTATATTAATCATCTCATCTATATAACTCTTAGCAAGACAGTGAATAGGCATTTTCCCAAAATGTAAATATATTTCTCTTCAAAGGAGTATACATGGCATGCTCCTCTGTGGCTAATATAATCCTTTCAACATCCTCTCTATTATGTAAAAAATGCATTTACATTAAGTTTAAAGCAACGCTTTTAATACTCAATAAAAGTTGGCATTTGGAGATTCAAGGTTTTCACCCACAAGCATTATGTGAATGTAATGATTTAACATACGGACAACAAAGGAAAAGTTAGTTACACTTAATCCGACAAAATAAAAAAGGATGAAGCATGTTGTATTTATCTCCAAACCTCCAAAGTGCTCAGTATTTCCACAAAACATAAGAAATCCCCCTTGAGCAGCTTTTATTGACATCCCACATATTTGGATGAAACGAACCACACAAGGTCAAGAGATAAAATAAAAAGGGTGGCCAATGGAACAACATTTAATATGTGGTGTTTCAGCATATTTGTTGAACAAATACATTTTTACAAGGTCACTTCCCCTAAATTACAATCTTATCTCTAGTGATATCTGCCATTGCACAGAGGTTTTGGGATATCTGAAATGTTTCCCCTAACACAGGGAAAGTGAAAGGAACTGTGTTTGTGTTACTCAAAGCAATAAAGGAATACATTTGAAAAACTCAAGTAATTTGTCCTTGCAGAAACAGTGTCCCACTAACTCTGGATAATCCACTGACATCGCTGTGAAAAGTTTTCATTTAAACTACTTTTTACTTTGACAGTGAGGTCTATGGATCGTACAAAATAACCAGGACATTGTTTCTGGAAAGACACATGACTGTTTAGTTTATCAAATCTACATTCTCAATAGTTTCAACGGTAGCACCAATTAAACTCTTGGTAATTGTTAATTGTTAAGTGTATCTTTATATCTTTAAATGCAGTCAGTATGACATACCTGCAGAGAATTATCACCCAACTCTGATCAATACATGCAGTTAAACTGACCCTTTAACATTCAAAATAGTAGCAAATAAAACAAATATAACTACAGTTTATTTGACAGAATCTGAGTAATTATATAATGTTCCTATCCGGTAAAGACAAGATCAAACACAGCTATTTTTTACTTGTAGTCACAGTGTCACCGTTCAAATTACTGCTCCTTAATTGGTGTATCACCATATTTACTCTGTATATATCTGATCCACGACCGGACACAAGGACTCAAGGGGGGGGTTCCGTTCCTTAAAAGAACTGACACACACAAACACAGACACACACACACAGACCTGGATGCCTGGGATTGCTGGAGAGCCTGGTGTGAGTGTGACCTCCCCGCTCTCGGACTTCTTCGACTGTCAGACTACATCGCAGTCTGCCAGGTGGTTGTGACCCAGCATTGAGATTGGCCCTCAGAGTGCTCAAGCTGACTGGAGGGGGCACATGTCGAGGACTCTGGGGGGACTGGCGGTTCAAGTGCAGGTTATAGCGCATTAATGGCACAGGAGCAAGAATCCGCCTGGGATGCTGGGAATAGTCTTATTGATAATTTGCCTCATTAAATTCTTGAATGGTCAAGTCAATTTTATTTATATGGCCTAATATCACTAATCGCAAATTTCCCTCAATGGGCTTTACAATCTGTACGCCATCCGACACCTTCTGTCCTTAGACCCTTAATTCAGATAAGAAAAAACTCCCCTCTCTCATATGCAAATGCAATGCATGCTAATATGCAAATGTTAAATTAAGATGAAGATGTATTTAAAAAAAATTTTTTTCTTCATGAACAGTGTCTTCATGAAGGGATTTTAAAAACCAGTATAGACAGTTATAATTCTAAAAGATTAAAAGCAAAGCATCTTTCACTGTGATAGGCTTGCCACTGTAAAACTAAAAGAAACAACATTCTATGCTTCACTTGTCAGTTGACCTTTAATAAGACAGCTTGGCTTATGGTATTTCGGGCAGTGTGACCCCATTGGAGAAGGAAAGAGGCTATTTCAGGACTGGCTGTGTAATGTGTGTGTGTGTGTGTCTGCGTGTGTGTGTCTGTGTGTGTCTGTGTATGTTTGGACTGTAGCTCCAGGTTGTATAGTAGCAACATTTGCCCAGACGTTGCATCAGCTGAACCATCGCCCTCTTCCTCGTTATGATTCACATTTGACTTCTGGTGTTTCTGCAGGTTTTCTCAGGTATTCTGGTCTCTGCGGCCATCAGTGCAGTGTTATTAAATGTGCTTAGCTCTAGATATGCAGGCACTAAACCATGACATTGATTCATCCTTGCAGAGTCCATGTAGAGTAATGAAACAAAGCCTCACAATAGCTACAAGAGGGGATGCCGGTGAGTAAATATAATACTTTGTTAATCCTTTATCTAAACCCGTCTCTCACCTCTCTCCTCAGTCCCTCGGAACCACGGCCATAACACCGTCCTAGGCATCGACTTTGACATTGAGCTCGGTAACACGGCAGATGAAGCCAAGGACGACCCAGGTAAACACAACACATTTGACAGAGACAACCAGCAACAGCTCTGCTCATAGCAGACTGCACAGCTCAAATGATGACAGACGATCCACATTTGCTATGGGCAAAATGAAACTGACAATCAGCTCCAGCAGTGGTGCTGCTGAGGCGAAGATATTATAGTGACCAGATGTGTTTTGATAGGCCTTTCACCAGGAGGTGACACATGACATCTGGCTGTATCCGTTTAAATAATGGCACAAAGCCCAGAACATACTGCCAGACTTTTCCACTTTTCACATTATGCTTGCTTGATTGCTTGACTGCTTAAATGATTAATTGATCATTTGGAGGTACATCAGTCCTCTCAAGCTCCATAGTTCTCGATGAAGAGTTCCTACAACAACAATAAGAAAACAGCTTTTGTGAGGAGACAGCATTTTATCTGTCATATTTGCTCAATGTGATTTATTGATGGTATCCAGATTAAATTGCCTAATGATTTAGTTACATGTTTATTTTGGTTCACAGTGCATCATTTGCTATACGGTGTCAAGAGAGAATGCATTTCCATTGGCTCAGAAAATGAACTGAGAAGTTTTTTGCAGAGACCCTATTTTAGCAACAAAATGATGGATGTTATTCCTATCTTCAAACCAATTTGTACAGCAATGCATGGATGATACCGCAACTGTTTCCCTGCATTCCCTTAATGTTATTGTCTAGAAATCATCGCAAGGAAAGAAATCATCAGTCATTGAATATTATGACTCTCTGTAGTAACTATAATCTGTTTTACTATGATATAGGGGTATGCACACAATAGGTTATGTGTGTAAAAGTACGCTCACACACATAGACACACTGATATCAATTCTAGCAACTTATTCAATTATTTGTGATTTTCTTAGATGAATGCTTTTCCACTTGCCATTTATGCAGCTCCTTCCCACTTGATTTTTCCTCTATGCATCAGCTCTCTTCAGAGATTACAACAAATGTTTACACTTTTATTGTATCATCATGCTCATCAGAAGGTGCTTGAACAGTCCCCTTGCTCCCGGTAATGTTAGAGGCACACAGTAGGGTAGAGCAGTAGAGCAGACTAAAGCCTTTTTTGCATGTGTGTACACCGGCTGATAAGTGTGTTTCACTCTCTTCAGAGTCTGGGTATCTGAGCTGCTCCTTTGATGATGGTCTTTGTGGTTGGATCAGGGACAAAGACGGAGACCTACACTGGGAAACGACGCCCGATCCGTCAGGTAATGAAGGGCAGGGGTCATTTATTCGCACTCAGACACTCTATTAAGGAGAATTGTTTATTTTATTGTCAGTAAATCGGAACGAGAAAAGCTGCGCTTCCTTTACTGACACACACACATATGCAAACACCCACAGAGTCAAACAATCTAAGCAAACTCAATTTTGTTCTACTCAATTACAGGTCAAGATGAAAATTACTTGAGGGAAGTGGTTTGTCTTTTCTGCAGATTAGCGCTTTGCTTTACAAAGCGATGCAAATGAGAAGTGGATTACGCGACCTGTCAGTGATACCTGTGGCTCACATTAAATGGGAACACGACACTGTTTTTCTTGGGGTTCAGATAAGGAGAAAATGTGATGAATTATGTTGAAAGGACTCAGTAGACGGGGTGTGAAGACTAAACAGTGCAGCGTACTGGCACTGTTTAAGCGACACTAACTACATCTGGCCTCTCCTGCCAGTTGGCTTAGTTTTTCAGTTACTAGCATGTTCCCAGACATTCAGACTCACCCTCACTTCAGCCAAGTCTGGTGCTCACTCATTAGAGAAAATAAAGATTTTTGCCTTGACTTTTAATTTCCCAAAAATAATTTACAGTAAATCATAAGCTTAGCCTTGACAAAGAGTAATTCCACTGAAGAGGCAACAATTTAATTTATAGTAGTGGATATATTTTATCAGAACATTTTAATAGTGTCTTATTTATGGATATGTGTGTGTCCACCTATACATGCCTTTTACTACATCTTCACTGTGTTGTGAAGCATTTAAGCATTTATTGTTCATCGCTTTAAGTTCCTCTGATAAATAGCTACTGGCAAACACCCATTTGCTGTTAGAGGACTGGCACACATTTTGAGGGGGCTCATAATTTATGCAGAAAGCCTCTGTGGCTTACAGATTGATATCACACCCCCTGTGGTTCACTTTAGCCCGAAACAGATCTGCTAGATAAGCAAAATACATCAGCATTAATCAGCTATTACCCAGAAGCACTTTCACGTTTAAAATTAAAAAACTATATAGCTCTACTATCACTAACTAATGCATGAATTACTGAAAAAAATCTGCTTGCCACTGGCAACTGGCTATATTTTGAGGTGAAGATACATAAGTGGGTCAAGTATTTTTTAATTGTATATTTTTTCATAGTTTCTCTTCTACTTGACTGTCAGGGATAAAATATTTTTTATGTGTGCTATCACAAACAGACAGACCTACCTACATGTTACAGGGTCAGTTCACCCAATAAGGAAGAAATGAAAAGTACAAAAAGTATTAACTCTAACCCTCCTTCTTATACCTTAATAGGCCATGCTGCTTGTGTAGGCTTGGTTGTTGGTTGTGCTGGCACCCAGATATGATCAGGTGAATGGATGAATTTCATTGTTCTAAGCATAACAAAAAATGCAATTCATATGGAAAAACTAAAAGCAACTTGACTGTCCAGAAGCGTTGTTCCACTGACTCAGCGTTAGCATGATGTTTCTGAGGTAGAAAGTAGCTCTGATGGAATAAACTGTTCATACTAAGGACTGTTAATTATCCGAAGTAGACCTGGCTATTGTTTCTGGAAAGCCAAGCTGGTGTTCTGTTTGTCAAATGTTATTTTTTAATGCTGCAAGCACCACAGCTGAAACTCCATTTACCACTTTCTACTGAGGTGGCAGCAAAAATCATAGACACAGATATATTCATAGAAAATAAAACCAAAACTGTCAGCATGGCTTAATGGGTGAGTGAGAAAATATGTGGGTTTTTTTGTGTTGTTTGGCTGAACCAATCTCCTTTAATCAATTAGAAATGGTGTCATTTACTTTCTATTTATTCTAGTCTGCTTGATCTAATCCATGAAGCATTAATATGCATAAATCATTCACATTGTGTACAGACTGATGAGTATAAATTATAGAGTGTAAAATCACATATATATTTATTACTTTTATTATTACATTATTATTAAGTGATTGTAAGGACACAGGACAACGATGCAACCAGTGGGTGTGGCATTCTTACAGCAGGATGATACATTCTTAGTGCTACGTTTTCTAAGATTCAGTTCCCATCTATTAACACAATTCAGTGTTGCCCAAAAATCATATTCCGTTTATTTTCATTAATGGACTGTAATGTCTGTGGACGGTACCTTAGGTGGACGGTACCTCACCATTCCCGAGGTAGGCAACAAGAGGACTGGGCGTGGGGCCCGACTGGTCCTCCCACTCACCCCACCCTGGAATGACGGCAATCTGTGCCTGTCGTTCCGGCACAAGCTGGCAGGACACCACGTGGGCATGCTGCAAGTGTTTGTGAAGAAGGGAAAGCAGTACAGTCCTGCAGTCTGGGGCCGGACAGGTGGAAATGGCTGGAGGCACACCCAAATCACATTATGGGGAACAGGCCTGGAAAGTGTACGTATAATAATAAACATGTAAAAAACGTTCACTCATACAGTGTGAATTTTAAATTAATATTTTTACAGATATTTTTTGACAGTAGCAAAGAGAAATGTTTTTATTCCTCTTTATAAAAAATAAATCAGAGCAGCTTTCAAAAGACTGGATCTGTAAAAATCTAAGATTGACGTCCGCTTTGAGTAGAAATGCTGTGAGTTCTCTTTCATCACAGAATAGCATTGGGTGATTGTTCCTCAGTGCTAGTACCTCATGTGCATGTTGCTGTTGTTCACCAGGTTATCCTGAAGGGGGAGCGTGGGCGAGGCAGGAGCGGGGAGATGGCTGTAGACGACATCACCCTGAGAAAAGGCTCCTGCTCAGAGGAGCACAATCTGAGGAGACTCTGACTGACGCAACAGAGAAAGGCAGAAAGAAAACAAGAGGGAAAATCATCTCAAAGAGAAGTGACTCTGTTGTGACAACCCCTCACTCTGCCTGGGTTCTCGCTGATCCCCCAGCCCACCCCCCCATCCTCCTACTCCTCCCAGCCATCCTGCGAACGATATCCGAAAAATTGTGCGTCTGCAGAACAGTGGGTTTCTCCTTCTTGACGGTCCATGAATAAAAAGACTGAATCGAATGTCATGGGCGGATCCCAGCAGCACACCTAGTCTTTTCAGCCTCCCTCTCACTCCATCACCTTGTTACTCTGAAACCTGCATGTACCTACTTACCATGGAAATGTCCTCCACCTAACACAGCCCTGGCAGCCTTCCAGCCACGCAGCTGAGAGGCCGTCACTCACTTCATTTCTTTCTGGAGAGAGGATCGTTCCCTTATGTATGAGTCTGCTTCTACCTTGCTTTGATCCCTTAACCACAAGCCATTAATTTTATTTGCTCGATGTTAAAACATGTGGCCAGAGGTGCTTTTTGTGACTGTTTTGATCAGAATATCAGAGATGGTATACATTTCTTTGAGGGTGAGAGATTTAAAAAAAGTATATAAAATACAAATTGTATTTGTCATAATTTCTTTCAAAACCACATTACTTCAAATCTGATATAGCCCTTAAGTATAAAACCGACTAGAGAGTCAGTTTAACCTTGCTTTTGTTGGTCCAATCTAACTTTTCTTCTATGACAGTTTTGACTGAAACAGCACAGCTTTTCTTTTGTTGTCTCAGTATTTTAAAGATCTGTTTGGTAGAAGGGGGTTTAAAAATGTAGGACCTTTTCTACCCCGATCTTTTATTGAAGCCTCCAAAAGTTGTTTAAACACTCATGTTTTTCAGATACTTGAAATGTGTCAAACAGAATCAGTGTATGATTTTCGACACTTGCAAATCAACAGTTACTTTCTATTATACAGTATGTGCTTTGTTATATTAAGTGCAGTTTGTTATAAAGACGATACCAACAACTTTGTAGGCTTTCACAAATTGTATTATTGTAAATGTAGTTGTGTGTACATACTCTTAAGATCTACAATCCCATTTGTTGTGTGGTTTATACGTTATGTAATTTCATACATCAATATAAATTGGATTTCAAAATGGTTGGTATTTCAACTTTTAATAAAAGAACATGTATACAGATGGAAACCTTGTGTATTAGGAGGCTGTGTTTAAAGTGCACAAAATGTGTATGTTCATGTGTTATGGTATAATGCTGTCTGTAACTTGCCAAGCACATAGTTGCATATTGTATGCTGTGATAATGAAGGGCATCGGCTGGAATTTTAAGGTTTTCTGTGTGCATGGGTGCATTCACCAAATTCAGATTTATCCAGACCTGTATGTAAATAAAATACATTTGACTGATATGTTATGAAAGAAAGCATGTTTTTTTTTCTCATCCTAGTTGCTGACTGCTGCTGCACGGTGTTTACAAGAGAAGCTGATGTTAAACTTATTTTTAAAGATATCCTTCTGAGTCTTTGACTACTAGTGGCACTGTCGAGCTATGTTTTGATGAGCAGGTATGCATGAGGGCCCACACCTAGATTAACAGCATAAGGGTATGAACAGCAGGTGATGCCATAAAAGATGGCAATCCTCAAATAAAAGGGGAGAAGAAGCGGACAGGAATGTTACTCAAATACTGTACAATTTGAGGCACTTGTACTTTAGTCTTTTCTTTTCATGCAACTTTATACTACTACTGATTTACTTTGTACTCCACTTCACAGCTTTAGTTTAGTTGTTTTAGTCTTAGTCATTAGTAACTTTACAAATTAAACTTCCCAACTTTATACAGCCGAAACCATTAGTCGATTGATCTGTTAGTGAATTGATAGTAAAGGTCCAGTGTCTAGGATTTAGTGACATCTAGTGGTGTCATTGTAGATTGCAACTCCATCTCTTCACCCTTTTTTAGGTCTGGACTATTGATGGGACAAAACAGGCATTGTGAAGGTGTCACTTTGGAGTCTGTGGAATTGTAACAGCATTTATCTAAATTTTTACAAACCAATCTATTAATTAATCAAGAAAATGATTAATCCATAAAAAAATAAAAATCAACGTTAAGTACTATATAACACAAAAATTAGCATCAACTACAACAGTAAAATCCTGCTTTTATAATATTGAATTAGTAGCAATAATCTAAAGATCTAATATTTAAATACTGATTATACTTACATACTTTAACTCAAGTAACATTTTCGTTTCAGTTTTAGAGTATTTTTACAGTGTGTTATAAGTACATTTACTAAAAGATCTGAATACTTCCTCAACACTGCAGCCATTTGACATTACAGTAACAATGCAGGTTTCAAAAATTATATAAAAAAAACCTTAGAAAATATCTGAAGAGGTAAGAAATGCATTGATCGTGTTTGATTAAACCCTAAACTTGCACACAATACATATATTTTGACGAGGAACAAACACAAATGTGAGTGAAAGCTCAAAAGGATACCTTTGATATAATGATGCCCCAGAACTTCAAACTATTTCCCATATGCTAGGCCTGCGTAAAATGATCAAAGTATCAAATCACAATATTTCTCTTAGTTATGTCAGTATTAAGGAAGGACTGTCCCTGATTTATTCAGCACCAGTTTCATAACTCCAATTACTTCTGCATCCCAACATGTGAATTCACTTTCTTCTCCAATCAGTTTCTTTACTCTTTGCAGGTCACATTGCTTTATTTGGCACAATTTGATATTAGACTATTAGTCAACTTTGGTATTCAAGATCTCTTTTATGAAGAATAATTTATTATTTCAGCATTACAGTTTGACAAGTCCTAAAACTAATCTTGATTCAAGACAGTGTATGCGTATGCAACAGAAGGCCTTGTTAAATTTTATGCAAATAAAAAGATTGAAGGATCAGGTCATTTGATTTAATTTGAAGATATTGAATTATTTTCTGGGAAATTAAATGTTAAAGAATGCCATGGAGAGCACAATAGTCTTCATAGCACATAACAAACGTTTCAAAATAAAAGGAATGAAAGGAAGAAAAAAAAAGGTCTTTGCAGATGACAGGCACAACCTGATGATGGAGAGCAAAGCACTTCTAGTTTGCAAACTGGTAAGAGGCAGAAGTATGCATGCTTTGATTAAATATTTCATATTCCTCACAGACATTCAAAGATACATTATCTTTATTTATACCATGGCCATGGAGCATACCTGTGTCTCAAAGCTGGTGGGTATGTGATAAAACTAAGTAATAGCAGATATTGTTCCAGTCAATAATTGGACCATTATTATAAATAAATGTGCAAAGTATATTGAACAGCAAGCAACCACAGTACATGTCCTTCACACTAAACTCTTGACTTTAACTTAAGTGGGTCAAACTCACTACTTTAATATAAACACAACCTTCATGTTTTTTTGGGGGGGCAGGGGCGGTTCTATGGTAGGTGGCTGTCATACAGTATAGTGAAAAAAAAGCACTGAGTGGAGGTCACCACTTCACCTTTGCCATGTCAGTTTTCTTTTTTCAATATATTTCACATTCATGGAAACACTTGAAACCTACATTTTTTAATTTAGGTGAACTTTGGAGTGTGAACTGATGCTTCTGGCCAATAGGAAATATAAGTGTGATGGCCTCTAAAGAGACAGGGATCATGGCTAATGTTTCTTTCTCTATATATAACTCATATGCATGCACGTACAGCAAACATAGAAAATGAATCAAGTTTTTGTTTGCTCAAATAAGGTTTGCACTTTCGATATTAGATCAGTCTCCAAATAGATGATTCTCCCAAGTCCTGTCACTGACCTGTGATGAAATACTGTTAAAAATCTTCATTTTCCCTCAGGGCAGCTTATTTGGGACAAAAAGGGCAAGCAAACAGTTCCTTTATTAAGATAAACCACCGTAGCTGAAAGGAATCCAGAGGGCAGAAGCAATAGCTAACACAAATGTGTGTATTTGCCTGTATCTCAGTGTTTGTGTATGTTTTCCTCTCTGTCATTTCCCAGTTGTCTCTAGAAGGTTGGAAAAGTCAGGCATTTTCTCTCTTTTTTCTCACAAGCACACACACATACACACAGCAGGAGGCAGAGAACATAATAAAAGAAGAAAATATCAAACACCTTTTCAGTTCATACAGTATAGAATAAAGCCTGAAGCTTCTGGCTGAATAAAGAAGAAAGACCTTCTCAGACTCTGTTACACTTGTTCTATAGAAACAAGAAATCTATCAGTGCTAATCGGACATTAATTAATGTCATAAGAGGAGATAACTGGTGACGCTATGAGGGAACTTTCACCAAACTTAACAGTAGTGATGTCCTTCATCATGCATAAGAACAGGACAAACAGGGACAGGCAAGAGTTACCTTTAAACCCCAATTTGTCAGATAGCCAAACAGTGCAGCTTTACTAAATTGCAACTGGACCTACTGTATCACCATTTGACTATGATTTCATTATCAGAAGTGCTCGGTGTTACATCATAGATAAGAGAGATATGAAGGGCATTCAACCACAATGAACCCTTTTTCTCGCCTCTTGAGTGCCAATTTGCCGACCTTCTGTCAGTCTTTTACTGCAGTTATTCAAGAGCTGTGTGATCAGCTACCTATACCCACCCTTTGTAGATGTTATCAATGAATCAAGTGAACCATCAACAGATTATTCTGTCAGTTAACTCACAGATTAATCCATCACTGTTGTATGAAAAAAACTTGCCTCTAACCATTTTGAATTTAGACAGGAGATCTGCACACTGCACTAATAGCTCCCAGTAGATTTCACAGAGCAAAAATTCGATCTAACAGAGATCTTTGTCAGGCATTGGAGCAGTAATCTGTCGTGCTGAAGGAGAGGTCTCAGAGATTAGGCTGGCAAAGCTGACTCAACAGAGAAGCTGTCAGAGCAGATGACCATTGGGTGTTCTCAAAGAGGGGGGCCGGGGGTGCAGAAATAAATTGGGGATGAACTTGGAAGGTGAAAGAGACGACTTTGAGGGACTTGTTAGACATGCCCTCTGGATAGTCAGTGCTGGAAGATTCAGGCTTCTTGTTGGTAGAGATTGTTGTAGAAGTCTGAATGTGCTGTGGGTGAATGAGATGAAGGTTCTGGATATCACAAAGCTACCATTGATGGCGCTGTTGTCTGCTCTGCTTGAAACGTAAGCAACCAAACAGGCCCTTAGATTGACATTAAGGTTGCCTGTCAACCTAGTGACAATGCCCTCACAGACACAATGGATCTACATCACTTAAAGGGAGCAGGAGGACTTTGATGAGGGATGGTCACGTTGGCTTTTCTGCTTACTCTGTGTCCACCACAACCCCAAATAAGCCTTTAAAACAGCCAGAATCTTCACTGTTAGTAACAGTTACAAACTTTTATTTACTGTCAAAATATTGCATTAAAAACCCCTCATGCCCCTCCATGTGGCAAACTTAATGTAGAATGAAGATGACAGCTATTTTGTAGGACTTACTTGATTGGATGATAGATAGCTGAATGCAAATAACCTTTTCACTACAATGTGAAAGTCAACTTGCACAATCTCAAAAGTGCTGTTTGAATATGGTTTTATTATTGGTAAAGTTACATTGTATGATAGTGCAGGTGTAGATACATAAATGCTTGACATCAGAATCTTATGGAAAGAAAATTAAATGAGACAATGGAATATATACTGATCAGTTTGAGGCAAAAATATAACAAAAGCCTAGACTGAGCAAGCAGAACTGTTGCTAAAATGCTTGGATTGTTACATTTACTCACTGCTAACACAGCAGTGTTAAGCAGTGTTGTGTTTTGCATACAAATGTTTAAAATGTATTGAGTTTGCCCACTGGCAAAGTTGCCATGAGAGGGTTTAAAATGAGCTTTAGACAATTACGGTATAAGGACAATATGAAAAGTCATCACTGGAAAGTTGAAAGACTAATTAGGCTAATTAAGTTTTCCTCATGAGGACACCAACCCTGTGGGAGGAAAGAGATGATTAATCAGCAAACTGTCCATAGTCTGAGTCATGAATGAGGTCAAACCTTCATTCACTGCAATATTCAAATAGCCACACTATTTTCCACCAAAGCAGGGTCCATGTATGTGTATGGGACTTCCAGACTCTTGTTTCTGGTTTTGATCACTGTACTTAAAATGTCCAGTTCTCCTTGATAGTGCTTTATCATCTTGCAGGGAACCTCCTCAAAGAAATGCTCTTCTGGATACTGGCCGAGCGGGACCTGACAAAACATACTGTTAACAATATGAAGAACAAGACATGGCCAACATTTTTATGCTACGTTTCTTTTCTGACATAAGGTTTCAATAAAACTGTAATTCCAAAATACGCAGATACAGTTCCAAGAAGAATGCATGTTGACATATTTACGGTAAGATATAGTATAATTAAGATATGATGAAATGTGTTTAAATACTACAAACATTAGTTTGATAGATGTTTGTTTATTTTTTTTATTTTTTTTATCTCTGGCACTTACGAAGTCGGAGGACTGCTTGCTGAGAAGCCACATGGTGGACATGCCCTGCACTGTTGTGTTGATGTCAGGCAATGTCTGCAGCATTGTGGCCTCGCTTGTTGTCCCCTTTGTGGTTGGTGGAGGACGCTGAAGGGAGATGGGAGTGTTGGGCATCCAGCCACCATAGTCATACTGCAATTGATGAACAAGTCATTGACAAAGATTAAACATGTTTAAAGGCACCATGTATAAAATATATAATTCAAGATGAAAGTTAGTTAGACAGTAAATGTCTGTATGTCATAATTCAGTTTAGAATAAAAGACTTCTACACAAAAAGATAACAAAAGGAAACCGACTAATAACTCTATAAGTCTATATAATAGATTATAGTGATGCACCTGTCCAGAGTTGACAGCCGAGTGCTGGCCTGAGCAAGTGAAAATCACCATGGTGACAAACTTGACCATCTCAGCCACGGTGCGAAAGGTTTGAGGGATTCCTGTGAATTCACGAAAATGGCAAGAATGAATACATTGAGATCAAGAAAACCCTTAAAGGTATTATGCAGAATAATATAAAATAACAACTTTCTGAAAAACAAAACATCCGCTTGTCTTTAAGCACACCTGTGCATGCCTGGGAGAGGAATCCATGTTCAAAAATGTCTTGAATCCATTTCTGTAGCTCAGAGTCTTGGCAAACCTCAGCATCAGTCTTGTAGTAGTGGCCAAGCACTCCCTTCACAAACCTTTAAGGAAAAATAATTTAAACTACAACATTGTGACAAATTCTAATCAGGTTTTAGACCTTACACTGTAGTCCTTTCAGGAGCATCTGACATATTGTTTTGCTCTTTCTACAATTTTGTATCATTACTTTGACATCCTTCAGGAACACTCATGTCACATAGCAAATGTAAATGGCAATACAGTTTGACTTGGCATCTACTCTTGGAGATGCTCCCTGCTGCTGCAATGAAGCAGATTAGCATGAAATAAATTGAAACATGAGGGGTAACATGCAAGAGGACTTGTGAACAACCCCCAAGACCCAGATGTGAATTAGTACTACTCTTTTCTGGGGGTTGTGGTTAGAGCATTTTCATACTTTTTTATACCATTCTTCTTTCTGTTGCCTTTTTGAGTTAATTCCATTTTGTGTAGGGAGCTTGTTTATTGTGCTTCATATCACTTAAACTTTCCAAACATTATTTGGTGAAGGTGGCGAAGGCAGTCCCTGCTGTGCTGCCTACCTACTACATTTCCAAACAGCCTACAGAACTTGGCTCAGTTCACTTGTGTGTCTCTGTAATATGTAAAACACATCACTTCTTGGCCACCTGGGCACTGAGAAGACTTTCTGGCACAAGTTGTGCCTCACTCATGGAGACAGAAAGGAACAAATCAGGATATGAACATTATTATTAGGTGTAGAATTATTTTTGTTTGTTTTCATTCGAAACATAATCACTTGGACTGCAAATATGGCAATAAATGTTATAAAAGTGAAGGTTTAAGTTCATTTTTTTGTATTATTACATTGCCAGTCCCTATAATACCTGTGGGTGATATCCCAAAGCTTGACTCCGTCATCTCTGTAGTAGAAGTT